ATAACAGTCAGGACTGGGTCAACCGTATCCATATCCACTGTAACCATAATGTTACTCACTTTACCTTTCTCTGATTTTAATATTGTTGTTGATCAGTCACCGTTGATTAGTCACATTGTCACAAACAGTCATAAAAATGCCCTCCAACTTGTATTAAACATGTAATTATCAGGGAAATACTCCAGGGGGTGCTCTAATGTTTCGTAGTTTTCAACACAGCATAGACACTTAATTTGAACATTTTAAATTAAGATATTCATTTTTATTTGTATGACTTGTTGTGTTTTTCCTCATATAAACCCTCGAAAACTGTGTTTGTGCTGCTAAAAGGAAACATATTCTCCATCAAAGATGACGCTAAAAGAAAAAAAAGGCACATAAAAGTGTTGGACATACCCTTTTTGAGACAATAGAACAAAGTGAACAACAACAGACGTTACTGAGGAAGCTCCAGCTGTGCATATTGTCTAACATCCCCAACCACTGTATTCCGAAGCTTTTATCTGTTTCCCATAGGATATAAATGTAATGATCAGAGGCATGTTTAGTTGATATATCTGATTCACATATTTACAGCAACACAAAGGCTTTGAAATTGTCAAAATATCCTGAAGATCCTCATATTCAATGGTCCAAAGCCTTCCTCTCAAAGCTTTGAACAAGATTCTGAGTTTAGGCTGAAGCTCACAGGTCCGTTGTCATCTTTATTGGTTCTGCTTGTCTCTCTGGCAAATTACCAGCTAAACTATAAGAAAAATGTTTAGCATACCAAAATGACGTAAATGTTTAATTGGAAGTTACTTGACTCGTTTGGAATTACCAATGACAGACTAAGAAACTCAGCTCAGCAGGCTGTAGTCATGCTCCAATGTCATATTCAGGTCCATATAGATCACCTGCATGTGCAGAATGGACGATCTGATATCCTTGTGTTGGCGTTGTTCCCACATCATCATAATTAATGTTTTTCCAGGGTTCACATTACAAGTGACCAATCACCTTCTTGTGACGTCATACTTTATAATACCCGCCTTCAAAAAACAAATGTTCTTCGAGAAACCGCCTTTTGTCCGCCGATCCAGCAATTTGAATTCCACTCAAGATACTTTTCTTTAATAAACGGTAAGCATTATACAAATATTTTCCTTGAAATGGCTGAAATGGATAGCTGTTTGTTTGCTAGTGATAGGCTACTTGCGAACCAGTGTTCTCCAGACAGAGAATTGCATGTCAATGTATTATGATATATAATAAATGTACAGGTGAATATAGCTGTCATAAAAATGTTGTCAGGCAAAATTGCAGTAGCTTCCCTGATCATTTTACAAACATAAGTGAATAGAATTTGAACTAAAAGGCCTAGACTAATGGTTGTGTGCTGAATCTATGAATCGAAATATCACCTGGAAACATAATTAACTGGTCCATAGCTGTGAAACTGGACATGAGTTCTTGATTCTATGGAGATTAACAGTAATCCAGAAATTTACACATTTGTCCTGGGCCATCGTGTTAATGTTTCCCTGGGACATCGTGTTAATGTTTCCCTGGGACATCGTGTTAACATTAACACGATGTGTTAACATTGTTAACATTAACACATCGTGTTAACATTAACACGATGTGTTAACATTGTTAACATTAACACGATGTGTTAACATTGTTAACATTAACACGATGTGTTAACATTAACACGATGTGTTAACATTGTTAACATTAACACATCGTGTTAACATTAACACGATGTGTTAACATTGTTAACATTAACACATCGTGTTAACATTAACACGATGTGTTAACATTAACACGATGTGTTAATGTTAGAGAACATTAACACATTGTGTGTTAATGTT